CACCAGTGTGACATTCAGCTTCTAAGGACAGACACATCTGCAGCCCACGCCCCCTCTCCCACCCAGACCCAAGCTACTGAAATCACTTCAGTCCATAAGAAGGCAGGAGACAGGCTTTAGTGTCTGTTAGTATCTCCCCTAAGAGGCTAGATGAAGCAAAATACGTGTGTGCTAAGTTGCCCTCAGCTGTGTCTGATTCTTTGTGATCTCATGGACTGTAACCTGCCAGGCTCCTCTGTCCAGGGGATTCTCCAGGCAAGAATACTGGAGAGGGTTGCCATGCCCTCCTCCAGGGGATCTTCCTGACCCAGGGATCGAACCTGTGTCTCTTATGCCTCTTGTGTTGGCAAGCGGGTTCTTTACCACTGACATCACCTGGGAAGCAAAATATGAGACTACAGTAAATGAGATATACCCTTACTATGAGCAGACATCATTTCTGTTTCTCAGTCTTCAGAAGTCAGTGTCACAGCCAGTAGTCAGCCTAGATGGAGATTAAGAGCATGATGTCTGAACAGACAGCCTGCATTTGTATCTGGGCTCTGCTGCTTAGGATCTGTGCAGTCCTAGGCATGTTGTTTAACCCTTCTGTACCTCAACTTATCATCCCTGATGTGGGAATAATAAATAATAACACCCACTATGGAAAGTTATTGTCAGGATTAAATGATTTGCTACATATGAAACACTTAGAAATGGGAGCAAGTATAAAATCCGCTTGGGCTTCCCAGGTGGCGCTAATGCTAAAGAACCCACCTGCCAATGCTGGAGACATGAGATGTGGGTTCGATCCCTGAGTCAGGAAGATCCTCTGGAGGAGGAAATGGCAACCTACTCCAGTATTCTTGCCTGGAGAATTCCATGGACAGAGGAGCCTAGCGGGCTACAGTTCACAGGGTTGCACAGAGTCAGACATAACTGAAGCGACTTAGCACACACGCAGTCATAAAATCCGTGAGAATAAATATGAAATCAGTGTTTTCTCTTCCTGTCTGCCTATCTTACAGCTCTGGAAGTGGTCTAAACCACTTAGATCACTTAAAGAGAGGCACCCACTAAAGTCTCTTCTGGCTCAAAGCTTCCCTGGTTCTGTCAGGCTTCAGGTATATCTCCAAGAGTGGACCGTGGACAGGCAGCACTGATGTCATCAGGGAGCTTGTTAGAAATGCAAATTTTTCTATAACATAACATGCTCTCCAGGTGATTTTTTTTTTTTAAATATGGAACGCTTCACGAATTTGCATGTCATCCTTGCACAGGGGCCATGCTAATCTTCTCTGTATCGTTCCAATTTTAGTATATGTGCTGCCAAAGCGAGCACTCCAGGTGATTTTTAACGTTGGAGTAGCATTGTCTCAGAATCCTCTTTACTGAGAAACTTCAAGCTTGATGCTCACATTCAGTCAGGAGCCCCACCCATGGGGTTCCTACCACTGTACTTGAAGAGACCAATGGAGAAGGAAATGGCAACCCACTCCAGTGTTCTTGCCTGGAGAAAGAATCCCAGGGACGGAGGAGCCTGGTGGGCTGCCGTCTATGGGGTCACACAGAGTCAGACACGACTGAAGCGACTTAGCAAAGACCAAACATCTTCATTGTTCCCTTAGACTGACAAGTCAGTTGAAAGCAGAGGTTTTAGAGGGATTTTTTTTAGTTCTTCAACACAACCAGCTCAGTCGTTTAAGAAAAGGATGATATTTATTTATTTTTAAAAGATTTTTTGATGCGGACCATTTTTGAAGTATTTGTTGAATTTGTTACAATATTGCTTCTCTTTAATGCTTCAGTTTGTCCGCCGAGAGACATGAAATCTTAGCTCCCTGACTAGGAATCAAACCTGCCCCCTCTGCATTGAAAGGCAAAGGCTTAACCACTGGACCACCAGGGAAGTCCCAAGAGTGATATTTAGAGTGAGAGGACAGTCCTGGCTGGGGCAATTCCAGGAGTGATGCATGGAACTGACCCTGGTGACACAGATGATAAAGAATATGCCTGCAATGCAGGAGACCCGGGTTCAAAGTGGGCATGGCAACCCACTCTGGTATTCTTTCCTGGAGAATTCCATGGACAGAGGAGCCTGGTAGGCTACAGTCCATCGGGTCACAAAGAGTTGGACACAGCTGAGTGACTAACACTTTCACTTCTTTCTGTACGGGGCTGAGTTTTCACCTTTAGTTTTCATATCATATGATCTTAGATCAGATTTCCACCTCCCATCCAGTGTTGTGGTCCAAATGAGTTTGTAAACTGGAGGTTGCTGCTTTGTGTTGCAACTTTGGAGGACAGCCTCCAGTTGCTTTAAAAAAGAAAGAAATTTGAGTCTAGCTAAGCTCATGAGGAAACTCTAAGAAGTCATTCTCTGACATCAAGAGACCATTAGGCAATAAAAATTGGTCAATAGTATTTGCTAAGTTTTCTCAAAATTCAAGCTGTTACCATAAATAATCACTGCAGATTTCTAAAGAGGAGAAAAGAATAAGTGAATGGACTTTGACATTGTCCTCAAACTCTCTCCCCACTCCGGTGTTTCATTGCATGCATTTATTCCAGGCTCTATCCCTTTTATGATCAACTAATATAAATATAAAACACAACATTTTTAATGTGTACTTCTTTGATCTTCTGTAGGGCATAGTTCTTGTCAAGTTACTTCTTGAGCAACAGTGAAGCCATTACTTATCCAGTTTTCTTCCCAAGCTGAAAAGTGTTAGTCAACACACAGCCTTCTGATACATTACAGCATCTCTTGGGTCTTCTTATTTTTTTAATAAGTATCTTTTTAAAATTATTTATTCTTTTTTTTTTTTTTGGCTGCGCGCGGGCTTTCTCTAGTTGCAGAGAGTAGGGGCTACTCTCTAGATGCAGGTACACCGGCCTCTCGTTAAAGTGGCTTCCCTTGTTGCAGTGCATGGGCTTTATGGTGAGTGGGCTTCAGTAGTTGTTGTACGTGGGCTTAGTTGCCCCGTGGCATAAGGGCTCTTTCTGGACCAGGGATAAAACTGGTGTCTACCCTGCATTCTTACCACTGGACCACCAGGGAAGCTCTTAGGTCGGCTTCTTAAGAGTCATTCTATTGTAGAGGTACAAGGCCGTTTAAGTTCTTATCACCCCACGACCTGGGGGTTTCAGCAACCTCTTGGCCATACCTTTGATGGACCAGCCTGTTTCCTCGGCAGTGTACACACCTCCATTGTCATAGCAACACTTCTCAAAGACTTTTATCATAACATGTCCTTCATGCCTTTGACAAAGATCTTACTCTGCCATCATTTTGTCTGTTCAGTCAAAGCTGAGTGTCTCTCCCCAGCCGCCAAGCTATTTGCTACTCTGCCACCCTTTACATCAAGAGAAGTCTTCATTTTCATTTTCATTCCAGAAGACTCATGTGCCATTTTCATCACTCCACTTACCTCATCCCACCTTCAGTGCACCGCACATACCACCGCACATGCCCCTGATGATGCACTTCGCTCATCCCGAGTTCTTCTTCCTCCTTTCCTTCCAGTCATCTTCATCTACTGTGGCAAAATTCTTACTAAATATTGCCTCCTGTCCCCACTGTCCTTATATGCCCTACTACTGCTGTATCCACACTACCTTGCTTTGCAAATATCTCCAAGCAATCTTCATATATAAGTTCTTGTTAGATAGTTTACTAGTGAAGATTGGAGGCAGCAGAGAACTTCCCATTGCTTTTGTTAATGCTGTACTTGCGGGACCAGTCCAGAGAGTTGAAGTCAGTAGAATGAATGCTCAATATGAAGTGGGTGCTCACTACATGTTATTCATCAATGGCAAAAAAAAAATAAGTTGCTTGATTTTCTGAAGACAACCAGGGCAGAAAAAGCAGTTTGGAATCCTCCTCAGCAAGGCATACTATAGAGAGCTCTAAGGAGACACAATTAGAAACCATCTTTCTGTTTTCATGTAAACGGTAAAAGCGCGTATGTGAAAAAATATGAGGCCGACTGTGGCTTTTTGGATGGCTGCACACTTCTCTTCTGCTCTGAATGCTTGCCTGGTTTGCATTACGATTTCCTTCCTTGTTGGAAAACGACATAGACTTTCTCCCTTTCTTTGGAAGAAGTAGGACCTGTTGGAAATGTGAGGCTCCAAGATTGAAATGCAATGGGCTTGGCTGTAGTGCTCTGTAGTGCATTTCTTGACAAGTCCTGAAAAGACTATTGAATTCTGGCCTGAGTTTTTTTTTTTTTTTTTTCTTGCAGTATTTGGATGGGATTCAGCTGCCATGTTTGGCTGGATTGAGTAATCAAAAGAGGTTTCTTTTTTCTTTCTCAGCAATCTTATGTACAATTTCATCCTTTAGAGTTCAAATGGAATATTTTACTACTAATACAAATACTTTTGAATGCAATAGAATCATAGCTCTTTCATAAGCAAACAATCCATCTTTTTAAATGACGTGGAAACAGGCAAAAACATAAACTGATCGTGTGATCCTGATAGAAAAACTGCCAGGTAGGTGGTAAGTTTACTAGGGGATACCAAGTTGCAATGGAGATTTTTTTTTTTTTAGTTAAACACGCATTTTGGATGAACTTTTACTTAACTGCAGAAAATTTTCCCTCTTTTGTTTGATATGATAAAAGTACTCTATCTGTCTTTTCTGCAGTGTTTGTAGCTGGTGTGAGTTTGGTGGGCTAGGAGTTTTGATGCTCTCTAATCAACTTCAAAGGGCTGCTAGCCTTTGAATCTACTCCATCTCTAAAATTCTAGCTTTAATGATCAGATGAGCCTGCAGTTTTTTCCTTTGTGATTAAAGAAGGGAGAAGCTGAAATGTGTTTATTATTCTGCAAAATACTTGAGATGATAGCATCCCCAGTGCTACACTATGTCCTGGAAATGAGAACTGGTCCAATCGCAGACTCCTTCAAGCCAAGGGAGGGGCATTAACAAGTCAGGGGAACAGAGTGCCATGACGTCAGTGGGTGATTGTGCAGTGCTGTCTGCTAAGCAGTGCTGGCCTTGTGCCTTTCAGGGTCCCTGCAAGTCATGAACAAAACCAGAAAGATTATGGAGCGTGGGGGGGCCACCTTCACCAATGCCTTCGTGACCACGCCCATGTGCTGCCCCTCCCGCTCCTCCATGCTCACTGGCAAGTACGTGCACAACCACAACATCTACACCAACAACGAGAACTGCTCTTCCCCCTCCTGGCAGGCGGTGCACGAGCCTCGGACGTTTGCTGTCTATCTGAACAGCACTGGCTACAGAACAGGTAAAGGGAAACTTCCAGGCCTTCAATTCCATGAACTCTGGTAACGCATCTCAGAAAAATGCACTATGTGATGAAATCTGTGAACTTCCAATCGGCCCCTAAATGGAAGGAATCTAGACTTGCCTCCCCCCGCATCCCTTACTTTTGTCTCTGATGAATGTCCCAGCCAGAGATCCCTTAGAGAAAAGTCAGAATGATCCTCAGTGGACACGTGAAGAAGTTGTCCCCATCAGCACGTGCATGTGTGTGTGCTCAGTCACCAAGTCATGTCGTACTCTTTGCAATCCCATGGACTGTAGCCTGCCAGGGTCCTCTGTTCCATCAGAGCACCCAGCAACTGGAATTTTCCAGACAACCTGCAACAGAAGAGTTTCTATCCCATGAGCCTGCTTACCTCAACCTCCCAAATTTCCAGGTCCTGGCGCCAACTGAGCACATTCTTTACATGCAGAACACCTATCCCAGGATCTGGGATACAATAGATTATCAAAATTATTTACTGAATTCATAAATAGCTGAAAGAAATAATCCAATGAGGTGTACCTTATTAATTCACCTATTTACTTACTCATAATTAATAGGATTCCGCTTTTCTTTAGCTTCATTGTGGTTACTTTTAGATCTCAAATGTTCAGCCTTATTTTCCAAGAAAGGAGGGCATCCCATAGAACACCTTTTATCACCATTTAACCTACATAGATGAGGGGTGTGGTTAACTGGTGTCTTGCATGTTAGGAACCTCCTTCTAGAGAGATCATGAACATCATGTCAATCGTTCTAAGAAATAAGCAAGGCACCTTCCTGTATGATTGACCCAAAGCCTTTATTCTCCAAGCATTTAAATGCTCTCATTAGGTTTTCTGAGCATTTCTTTTTTTTAATTTTTATTTATTTTTTTATTATTTTAGACTTAGCCACATGTGGCCAATAGCTACCATATTGTATTAGCACAGTTTCCACTATCTTTGGGGCAGTGGAACCATTTTAATAGAATTAAGAATGGGAAAGACATAGTCTGAGCATTTTTTTAGGAAAGGAAACCCAGATATTGATTGAGGGCTGTAAAGGAAAATAATTTTTTCAGAACCAACTAGATTTATTCATAAGAATTCAGGGTGTCATCATTAAAAACTTGTTGGAAATGATTTTCAGGTCTGCAGATTCTCTCTTCTGAAGATTTAAAAGGAAAGGATTTTGGATAAAGGTATTCTCTCTCAAATCTCTTCTAAAAATGAAATTAATCTTTTCCGCTGGATTTAGGAACTTAAGTGGCCATTGACTTCTGTGCAGAGCACCTTGTGGGCACTTAATACTTGTTATTTATGAATGAAAACACTGACTGTGGAGATGATAACATTGTCATCCACAGACATCTCAAAGTCTCCACTCACAGAAGGAACTCCTCCCATGAGCCTTAAAGGTGTCTGCTTATGCTTCGGAAAGAAACTAGGTTACTCGGAGAGCCTTATCCTGAGTGTTTTCCCACATAAGTGGTTTAAATTTATAGCACCTTTCATCTGAGAGCTCTAAAGCAATTTGCAAATCTCTCCAACATCCCTGCAGGGTTCATAAACAGCAAATGTACTTGGCTTCATTTTATAAATAAGGTGAGGATTTCAAATACCGTGTGACCAGCTCATAAGCAAAATCAGAAATGGTCCCCTGATGCCTGACTCCTGATTTTGACCACCAAATTGTGTTTTATTCATGGGAAGCATTGTGTGAAGTCAGTGCCTTTCAACTCTCATTGTCCCTATAATTGAATTCCTAGTAGCAGAGACAGAGAGAGTTGGAACCTAGGGAGTTAGAACACTCATCATATCCAGACCAATGTGGTTGGTGTCTGTCCTAGGAAACAGAGATGTGGGTGACAAAGAGAACCCTACTGAGACTTAGAGTTGTTGACTAGGGCTTGCTAATACATTTCAGGGTCAAATCAAGAAAGGGAAGAACGAAAAGAAGTCTGGAGAGAGAGTGAACACGGCTATAGTTGACAGTGTTTCATTGTGTACTCGAGATTTGCTAAGAGGATAGATCTTGGGTGTTCTTATCACAACAGAAAATAATGGAAACTACTGAACATGTAAAGGAAAGAGTATGTTGATTGACTTAGCAATGGTTCTTGTTTCATGGTGTTTTTATATAGTGGGCCCTTGGGTTATAAACCTTACAATTTTTGATTGTCAATTTTACTTCAGTAAAGCTGGGCCATTGGAAAGAAAGGGGAAAAATGCGAAATTGATACTTGGTGCTTGCTTCCTCTGTACCAGACATTTTAGCTGAGTTTGCTCACCTAATTCTTCTGCAGCCTTGGAAGGATTTGCCATATTGCCAGTGAAGAAACAGAAACTCAGGAGAGTTGGTCTGAGGTCACAAGGTAGTCAGTGACAGACTGAATCTAGCACATCTGACGCCATCTTTCTTCTTTCCATTGTCTTATTTCCTGACATATGTTTCTATCATGCCTCATTCCAAAATGCCTGATAGAGACACATAAAACATAATAGGATACAGAGAAATAAGGACCCTGTCCAGTAGAAATGGAGGGTAAAACCAGCTCAAATCAAGGCAAAGGTTAATATACAAACCACAGACATGCCACAGAATTGTGGAGAAAGGCTGCATATTCGAAGTTAAACTTCCAGATGGCAAAAGCAAAAATGGAAACGCCATCCAGTACAAAGTTCATTGGGCCACCAAGAAAAAACAAATCTGTTGCTTCTAAGAAGTGGAGTGTATTCTGGTACTTGTTTAAATTATCCTATGCTATATCCAACCTACAGTGGGTTACAAGAGCTTGAATAAACCTCAGAGATAATTTCGTTCAGTTCTCTTATTCTCAAATGGTAAAGAATCCGCCTGCAATGGAGGAGATCCGGGTTCCATCCCTGAGCTGGAAAGATTCCCTGAAGAAGGGAATGACAACCCACTCTAGTATTTTTGCCTGGAGAATCCCATGGAAAAAGCAGCCAGATGGGATACAGTCCATGGGATCACAAAGAATCATACAGGACTGAGCAACTAAGCGTATACAGATAAACAAACTTAAATATTCCACTTTTTTTTTTTTTAATTTTACTTTTTGGCCACACCACCCAAGAGGTAGGTAGGATCTTAGTTCTCTGACCAAGGATCAAATCAGTGCCCCCTACATTGGAAGCATAAAGTGCTAACCACTGGACCACCAGGGAAGTCCCATCAGATGAACAAATTTAGACCCACAAGATAAGGGGACTTGCTGAAAATGACCCATCTGATGTTCTACTAGGAAGAGTGAGCAACAAGACCTTGGTCTTCAGGGTTCTTTCCAGTATTGTACCCTATCTTTGTGGGTTAGGTCTAGGAGGAAACTGCAGACAATCAGCCTTTCCCGGGGACAACTAGCAGTCCTGTGGTGCAGTCCATTGGGCCTGCTTCAATCAGTTCTCTTCTTCAGGAAGAGGAGATTTGCTTCTGGAAATTAACTCACATACTGTAGCCAACCTTCTTCCCTGGGGTCTAGACACTTAGGTAATAATGGAATTTACAGTGAGTCATCCTACAAAGTAAAAGGAATTCTTTAAGGAAAACAGGACTTTTCCAAATGCTTAAGACTTTTTCAAACACTCTGCTAGGAATATAAAATGGATGATATGCACCCAGGAAAATAAACTTTGAGAGTGCCCACTAGTAAATCGGAAAAAGTAAAAATTGGAAGGCTAGAACAGCATGATAATGAGCTATATAACTTAAATTCATCTTTAATGGGAAAATATTGATATTTCTCAGACAATTAGGAAGTAAAGATGTCTCTGTGACAATAATTATCAATCCAACCAGGGACAGAGACTCATTTGAAAATCTACAAATAAGCACATCAGGATGACAGACATCTCAGGAAGTTAAGAGAATTGGTGTGTCGGTTTTAAACCAGCATAATTATTTATGAACCACTAAACTAGTTGGGGGGGGGAGCCAATATATAAAGATTTTATTGTTTTCCTAACAATAAATGCATCATTTAGAACATTTAGCTGAGAACATAGAAAAAATAATGACGGAAGCTGTATTATACATAAATACTCATCTAGCGAGAATCACAAAGCAGTAATCAGTTTTACGAAGAACAACTCAGAGAAGACAAACTACTGAGAGACTTATTTTGGAAGGTAACCAGAGTACATGGATTTAAATGAATTGGATTGATCCAGTATTGTATTTACCATTGTATGACATTATTTTCTTTTTTCAGAACCAAGGCATATTTTTGGACTGACTATACCTAAATTTTTCTAACTTTACTCATGGAAAATATGACTTTACAACAGCTTAAATGTTTAAGAAAGGAAAATACAATAACATTTCTATTGCATTTTATGTTCTAAGTGAAGTGGTAACAATATTGAATTATCTATCATAAAAAGGAAAATTCTACTGATTATCCACTCAAAATTTTTTAGTTTAAATTTCTTTTGCAAGTAGAGACATGAATGTAAAACCTGGCATAAATTTTAAAGTGACAGTAATAATCCATAATTGAGAGGTAGAATCAAGTTTTAGGGGAAAACACCCTGAACCAAATGGTGAAGAACTGGAATCACGTCCTTACTCTGCCTTGAACTTATTTTGAGAACTTTTCCAGGCCAGTTTTCTAACCTATAGAATGCAGAGATAGGACTAGAGGGATTCCTTAGTTCTCTTTCCTATCCAAAATTATATTGTAATTTTATTATAATCACTGTAATCATACTGATTCCTTTAAAAATGGTAGTGCTCAAATTATAATCATAACACAGGATTTGTAAATTCACAGGTGAATTAAATTTTAATCCTACTAATTCTGCTTCATATCACTGGGGTGGAAGGGACAATATTTAATAGAGACCTGCAGTAAAATTGTTATGTAAAGAATTATTTTTGTAACAAAACACTGCAGACAAATTAATCAATTTTTATGTGTCTTTTTACATTATAAAATTTATTTATGTTACTTATGAAGTGAAATGAAAGTCGCTCAGTCG